TACACTGAGATATACACCTCTCAGTGTATATACACTGAGATATACACCTCTCAGTGTATATACACTGAGAGAAATACACAAGTGTATATACCCTGAGCTGTATGGAATCCAAAATTCTTTTTCTGTGTGCCATTCTAAATAAAAATTCCACACATCTTTATGCAATATTTTAACCAATTTTCAGTTTGCTTAAATAATTTTTGTTTATTCACAATTTATTTTATTTATCCTATTTATTCGCACTTTCTTTTCATTATTTATTAATGTTATATAATCTCATACCAGATTTTTTTGAGACTTCTTCTGGTTTAAAAATTTATTCGTTTTCTATAAATTATCGAAAAAAAATTTAGGGGGAAACTACGGAAAAAATATTTGTCGAGAATATCTGTGATATTTTATTGTCAATATTGATTTATATTATCAATATTAATGTATATTATCAACATTGCTGAAAGATGTTCCAGTTCCAGTACTGGACGGTATCTTCTTGTTCCAGTACTGGACAGTATCTTCTTGTTCCTGTACTGGACAGTATCTTCTTGTTCCAGTACTGGACAGTATCTTCCAGTTCCAGTACTGGACGGTATCTTCTTGTTCCAGTACTGGACAGTATCTTCTTGTTCCAGTACTGGACAGTATCTTCCAGTTCCAGTATTGGACAGTATCTTCCAGTTCCAGTACTGGACAGTATCTTCCAGTTCCAGTACTGGACAGTATCTTCTTGTTCCAGTACTGGACAGTATCTTCTTGTTCCAGTACTGGACAGTATCTTTTTTTCCAGTACTGGACAGTATCTTCTTGTTCCAGTACTGGACAGTATCTTCTTGTTCCAGTACTGGACAGTATCTTCCAGTTCCAGTACTGGACAGTATCTTCTTGTTCCAGTACTGGACAGTATCTTCCAGTTCCAGTACTGGACAGTATCTTCTTGTTCCAGTACTCGACAGTATCTTCCAGTTCCAGTACTGGACAGTATCTTCTTTTTCCAGTACTGAACAGTATCTTTTTGTTCCAGTATTGGACAGTATCTTCTTGTTCCAGTACTGGACTGTATCTTCTTGTTCCAGTACTGGACAGTATCTTCTTGTTCCAATACTGGACAGTATCTTCTTGTTCCAGTACTGGACAGTATCTTCTTGTTCCAGTACTGGACAGTATCTTCCAGTTCCTGTACTGGACAGTATCTTCTTTTTCCAGTACTGAACAGTATCTTCTTGTTCCAGTACTGGACAGTATCTTCTTGTTCCAGTACTGGACTGTATCTTCTTGTTCCAGTACTGGACAGTATCTTCTTGTTCCAGTACTGGACATTATCTTCCAGTTCCAGTAGTGGACAGTATATTCTTGTTCCAGTACTGGACAGTATCTTCCAGTTCCAGTACTGGACAGTATCTTCTTGTTCCAGTACTGGACAGTATCTTCTTTTTCCAGTACTGGACAGTATCTTCCAGTACCAGTACTGGACAGTATCTTCTTGTTTAAGTACTGGACAGTACCTTCCAGTTCCAGTACTGGACAGTATCTTTCAGTACCAGTACTGGACAGTATCCTCTTGTTCCAGTACTGGACAGTATCTTCCAGTTCCAGTACTGGACAGTATCTTCCAGTACCAGTACTGGACAGTATCTTCTTGTTCCAGTACCGGACAGTATCTTCCAGTACAAGTACTGGACAGTATCTTCTTGTTCCAGTACTGGACAGTATCTTCCAGTTCCAGTACTGGACAGTATCTTCCAGTACCAGTACTGGACAGTATCTTCTTGTTCCAGTACTGGAGAGTATCTTCTTGTTCCAGTCCTGGACAGTATCTTCTTGTTCCAGTACTGGACAGTATCTTCCAGTTCCAGTACTGGACAGTATCTTCCAGTTCCAGTACTGGACAGTATCTTCTTGTTCCAGTACTGGACAGTATCTTCCAGTTCCAGTACTGGACAGTATCTTCTTGTTCCATTACTGGACAGTATCTTCCAGTTCCAGTACTGGACAGTATCTTCTTGTTCCAGTACTGGACAGTATCTTCCAGTTCCAGTACTGGACAGTATCTTCTTGTTCCAGTACTGGACAGCATCTTCCAGTTCCAGTACTGGACAGTATCTTCTTGTTCCAGTACTGGACAGTATCTTCTTGTTCCAGTACTGGACAGTATCTTCTTGTTCCAGTACTGGCCATCATCTTCTTGTTCCAGTACTGGCCATCATCTTCTTGTTCCAGTACTGGCCATCATCTTCTTGTATCAGTACTGGACAGTATCTTCTTGTTCCAGTACTGGACAGTATCTTCTTGTTCCAGTACTGGACAGTATCTTCTTGTTCCAGTACTGGACAGTATCTTCTTGTTCCAGTACTGGCCATCATCTTCTTGTTCCAGTACTGGCCATCATCTTCTTGTTCCAGTACTGGCCATCATCTTCTTGTTCCAGTACTGGCCATCATCTTCTTGTATAAGTACTGGACAGTATCTTCTTGTTCCAGTACTGGACAGTATCTTCTTGTTCCAGTACTGGACAGTATCTTCTTGTTCCAGTACTGGACAGTATCTTCTTGTTCCAGTACTGGCCATCATCTTCTTGTTCCAGTACTGGCCATCATCTTCTTGTTCCAGTACTGGCCATCATCTTCTTGTATCAGTACTGGACAGTATCTTCTTGTTCCAGTACTGGCCAGCATCTCCTTGCATTAGTCCTGGACAGTATCTTCCAGTTCCAGTACTGGACAGTGCCTTCTTGTTCCAGTACTGGCCAGCATCTCCTTGAATCAGTACTGGACAGTATCTTCCAGTTCCATTACTGGACATAAATCTAGTGTTCCACAAACACTAATGGAGAAAGATATCAGTATCATTATCCTTTTACGTTCCAGGAAGTCCCTGGAGGACCACCAGGCCCTCCAGGAAGGTCTGGACGCCGAGACCAGAGACCTGGAACGAGCACTGGTCGAGTCCAAGGAAGAGAAAGAGAGACTGGAACAGGAGAGAGACAGAGAGAAGCAGATGCTGGAAGAAGCCCTGAAATTATCCCTTAGTGACACACCTGGAGAAGTTACCCCTAGAGAGCCTCTGCCTCCCTTCCAGGTGAGAGACAGAGAGATAGAGAGAGAGAGAGAGAAAGAGAGAGTGTGAGTCAATGACATCAGAATGTTAAGAGATTGTATAACAGGTTCAACCAGTTTTAAATAGAGTAACGTAGTTTCCAATGGAAAATTTTTATGTGTATAAATATGAGAAATATGATCAGAGTAAACACGTGATATACAGGGTGTGTGTACACTGAGAGGTGTATATCTCAGTGTATATACACTGAGAGGTGTACATCTCAGTGTATATAAACTGAGAGGTGTACATCTCAGTGTATATACACTGTGAGGTGTATATCTCAGTGTATATACACTGGTAGTTTACATTAATCAGTATTTTAGGTATTAAAGTATTCTTGACTGGTGGTGACCAGGTGACCTGCAGACTTAATGACCCTGGTGTAGTAGATAGACTTTAAACCCCATTAACCAACCAACCAGTCTTAATGACTCTGGTGTAGTAGATAGACTTTAAACCCCATTAACCAACCAACCAGTCTTAATGACCCTGGTGTAGTAGATAGACTTTAAACCCCATTAACCAACCAACCAGTCTTAATGACCCTGGTGTAGTTGATAGATTTTAAACCCCATTAACCAACCAACCAGTCTTAATGACCCTGGTGTAGTAGATAGACTTTAAACCCCATTAACCAACCAACCAGTCTTAATGACCCTGGTGTAGTAGATAGACTTTAAACCCCATTAACCAACCAACCAGTCTTAATGACCCTGATGTAGTAGATAGACTTTAAACCCAAATTTAAAAACCAACCAACCATCTTAATGACCCTGGTGTAGTTGATAGATTTTAAACCCCATTAACCAACCAACCAGTCTTAATGACCCTGGTGTAGTAGATAGACTTTAAACCCCATTAACCAACCAACCAGTCTTAATGACCCTGGTGTAGTAGATAGACTTTAAACCCCATTAAAAAACCAACCAGTCTTAATGACCCTGATGTAGTAGATAGACTTTAAACCCAATTAACCAACCAACCAGTCTTAATGACCATGGTGTAGTAGATTGACTTTAAACCCCATTAACCAACCAACCAGTCTTAATGACCCTGGTGTAGTAGATAGACTTTAAACCCCATTAACCAACCAACCAGTCTTAATGACTCTGGTGTAGTAGATAGACTTTAAACCCCATTAACCAACCAACCAGTCTTAATGACCCTGGTGTAGTAGATAGACTTTAAACCCCATTAACCAACCAACCAGTCTTAATGACCCTGGTGTAGTTGATAGATTTTAAACCCCATTAACCAACCAACCAGTCTTAATGACCCTGTGTAGTAGATAGACTTTAAACCCATTAACCAACCAACCAGTCTTAATGACCCTGGTGTAGTAGATAGACTTTAAACCCCATTAACCAACCAACCAGTCTTAATGACCCTGATGTAGTAGATAGACTTTAAACCCAATTAACCAACCAACCAGTCTTAATGACCCTGGTGTAGTAGATTGACTTTAAAACCCCATTAACCAACCAACCATCTTAATGACCCTGGTGTAGTAGATAGACTTTAAACCCCATTAACCAACCAACCAGTCATAATGACCCTGGTGTAGTAGATAGACTTTAAACCCCATTAACCAACCAACCAGTCTTAATGACCCTGATGTAGTAGATAGACTTTAAACCCAATTAACCAACCAACCAGTCTTAATGACCCTGGTGTAGTAGATAGACTTTAAACCCCATTAACCAACCAACCAGTCTTAATGACCCTGGTGTAGTAGATAGACTTTAAACCCCATTAACCAACCAACCAGTCTTAATGACCCTGGTGTAGTAGATAGACTTTAAACCTCATTAACCAACCAACCAGTCTTAATGACCCTGGTGTAGTAGATAGACTTTAAACCCCATTAACCAACCAACCAGTCTTAATGACCCTGATGTAGTAGATAGACTTTAAAACCCCATTAACCAACCAACCAGTCTTAATGACCCTGGTGTAGTAGATAGACTTTAAACCCCATTAACTAACCAACCAGTCTTAATGACCCTGATGTAGTAGATAGACTTTAAACCCATTAACCAACCAACCAGTCTTAATGACCCTGGTGTAGTAGATAGACTTTAAACCCATTAACCAACCAACCAGTCTTAATGACCCTGATGTAGTAGATAGACTTTAAAACCCCATTAACCAACCAACCAGTCTTAATGACCCTGGTGTAGTAGATAGACTTTAAAACCCCCATTAACCAACCAACCAGTCTTAATGACCCTGGTGTAGTAGATAGACTTTAAACCCCATTAACCAACCAACCAGTCTTAATGACCCGGGTGTAGTAGATAGACTTTAAACCCCATTAACCAACAAACCAGTCTTAATGACCCTGGTGTAGTAGATAGACTTAAACCCCATTAACCAACCAACCAGTCTTAATGACCCTGGTGTAGTAGATAGACTTTAAACCCCATTAACCAACCAACCAGTCTTAATGACCCTGGTGTAGTAGATAGACTTTAAACCCCATTAACCAACCAACCAGTCTTAATGACCCTGGGTAGTAGATAGACTTTAAACCCCATTAACCAACCAACCAGTCTTAATGACCCTGGTGTAGTAGATAGACTTTAAACCCCATTAACCAACCAACCAGTCTTAATGACCCTGGTGTAGTAGATAGACTTTAAACCCCATTAACCAACCAACCAGTCTTAATGACCCTGGTGTAGTAGATAGACTTTAAACCCCATTAACCAACCATCTCAAGTCAGATCAAAGTCACAGACTCCAGAATTAACACCAATGTCGTCCCTAACCCCCCCCCAAACTCCGGTTTACAGAGCACCGAGGTAAACCCTGAAGAGCTCAAGAAGAGACAGGAGTACCTGAAGGCGCAGAGGGACAAGCTCCTGGCCCTGAAACAGGAGGAGAGAGAGAAACAACTCGCTGCCTTTGAGAAATCTGAGCCACAGAAACGACCCAAGTCTTCCCGAGCAGCGAGAAAAGTTAGTATAGTTTACCCTCTCATTATTAGTATAGTTCACCCTCTCATTATTAGTATAGTTCACCCTCTCATTATTAGTATAGTTCACCCTCTCATTATTAGTATAGTTCACCCTCTCATTATTAGTATAGTTCACCCTCTCATTATTAGTATAGTTCACCCTCTCATTATTAGTATAGTTCACCCTCTCATTATTAGTATAGTTCACCCTCTCATTATTAGTATAGTTCACCCTCTCATTATTATCCACTTAATTATTAGTATAGTTCACCCTCTCATTATTAGTATAGTTCACCCTCTCATTATTAGTATAGTTCACCCTCTCATTATTAGTATAGTTCACCCTCTCATTATTATCCACTTAATTATTAGTATAGTTCACCCCTCTCATTATTAGTATAGTTCACCCTCTCATTATTAGTATAGTTCACCCTCTCATTATTAGTATAGTTCACCCTCTCATTATTAGTATAGTTCACCCTCTCATTATTAGTATAGTTCACCCTCTCATTATTAGTATAGTTCACCCTCTCATTATTAGTATAGTTCACCCTCTCATTATTAGTATAGTTCACCCTCTCATTATTAGTATAGTTCACCCTCTCATTATTAGTATAGTTCACCCTCTCATTATTAGTATAGTTCACCCTCTCATTATTATCCACTTAATTATTAGTATAGTTCACCCTCTCATTATTAGTATAGTTCACCCTCTCATTATTAGTATAGTTCACCCTCTCATTATTATCCACTTAATTAGTATAGTTTACCCTCTGTTAGTTAATTATTAGTGTAGTTTACCCATGGATTATCCTTTATTAATTATCACAATTATCATTACCACAATTATCATACCACACTTATCATTACCACAATCATCATTACCACAATTATCATTACCACAATCACCACAATTACCACAGGTACTGGACGGTTCCACTATCATTACCACAATCACCACAATTACCACAATTACCACAGGTACTGGAAGGTTCCACTATCATTACCACAATCACCACAATTACCACAGGTGCTGGAAGGTTCCACTATCATTATCACAATCACCACAATTACCACAGGTGCTGGAAGGTTCCACTTTCATTACCACAATCACCACAATTACTACAGGTGCTGGAAGGTTCCACTATCATTACCACAATCACCACAATTACCACAATTACCACAATTACCACAGGAGCTGGAAGGTTCCACTATCATTACCACAATCACCACAATTACCACAGGTGCTGGAAGGTTCCACTATCATTACCACAATCACCACAATTACCACAATTACCACAATTACCACAGGAGCTGGAAGGTTCCACTATCATTACCACAATCACCACAATTACCACAGGTGCTGGAAGGTTCCATTATCATTACCACAATCACCACAATTACCACAGGTGCTGGAAGGTTCCACTATCATTACCACAATCACCACAATCACCACAGGTGCTGGAAGGTTCCACTATCATTACCACAATCACCACAATTACCACAGGTGCTGGAAGGTTCCACTATCATTACCACAATCACCACAATTACCACAGGTGCTGGAAGGTTCCACTATCATTACCACAATCACCACAATTACCACAATTACCACAGGTGCTGGAAGGTTCCACTATCATTACCACAATCACCACAATTACCACAGGTGCTGGAAGGTTCCACTATCATTACCACCATCACCACAATTACCACAGGTACTGGAAGGTTCCACTATCATTACCACCATCACCACAATTACCACAATTACCACAGGTGCTGGAAGGTTCCACTATCATTACCACCATCACCACAATTACCACAATTACCACAGGTACTGGAAGGTTCCACTATCATTACCACCATCACCACAATTACCACAATTACCACAGGTGCTGGAAGGTTCCACTATCATTACCACCATCACCACAATTACCACAATTACCACAGGTACTGGAAGGTTCCACTATCATTACCACCATCACCACAATTACCACAATTACCACAATTACCACAGGTGCTGGAAGGTTCCACTATCATTACCACAATCACCACAATTACCACAATTACCACAGGTGCTGGAAGGTTCCACTATCATTACCACAATCACCACAATCACCACAATTACCACAATTATCATTACCACAATCACCACAATTACCACAGGTACTGGAAGGTTCCACTATCATTACCACCATCACCACAATTACCACAATTACCACAGGTGCTGGAAGGTTCCACTATCATTACCACAATCACCACAATCACCACAATTACCACAGGTGCTGGAAGGTTCCACTATCATTACCACAATTACCACAATTACCACAGGTGCTGGAAGGTTCCACTATCATTACCACAATTACCACAATTACCACAGGTGCTGGAAGGTTCCACTATCATTACCACAATTACCACAATTACCACAGGTGCTGGAAGGTTCCACTATCATTACCCACAATCACCACAATTACCACAGGTGCTGGAAGGTTCCACTATCATTACCACCATCACCACAATCACCACAATTACCACAGGTGCTGGAAGGTTCCACTATCATTACCACAATCACCGCAATTACCACAGGTGCTGGAAGGTTCCACTATCATTACCACAATCACCACAATTACCACAGGTGCTGGAAGGCTCCACTATCATTACCACAATCACCACAATTACCACAGGTACTGGAAGGTTCAACTATCATTACCACAATCACCACAATTACCACAGGTGCTGGAAGGTTCCACTATCATTACCACAATCACCACAATTACCACAATTACCACAGGTGCTGGAAGGTTCCACTATCATTACCACAATCACCACAATTACCACAGGTGCTGAAAGGTTCCACTATCATTACCACAATCACCACAATTACCACAATTACCACAGGTGCTGAAAGGTTCCACTATCATTACCACAATCACCACAATTACCACAGGTGCTGAAAGGTTCCACTATCATTACCACAATCACCACAATTACCACAGGTGCTGGAAGGTTCCACTATCATTACCACAATCACCACAATTACCACAGGTGCTGGAAGGCTCCACTATCATTACCACAATCACCACAATTACCACAGGTACTGGAAGCTTCCACTATCATTACCACAATCACCACAATTACCACAGGTGCTGGAAGGTTCCACTATCATTACCACAATCATCACAATTACCACAATTACCACAATTACCACAGGTGCTGGAAGGTTCCACTATCATTACGACAATCACCACAATTACCCCAATTACCACAGGTGCTGGAAGGCTCCACTATCATTACCACAATCACCACAATTACCACAATTACCACAGGTGCTGGAAGGTTCCACTATCATTACCACAATCACCACAATCACCACAATTACCACAGGTGCTGGAAGGCTCCACTATCATTACCACAATCACCACAATTACCACAGGTGCTGGTAGGCTCCACTATCATTACCACAATTACCACAGGTGCTGGAAGGCTCCACTATCATTACCACAATCACCACAATTACCACAATTACCACAGGTGCTGGAAGGTTCCACTATCATTACCACAATCACCACAATTACCACAATTACCACAGGTGCTGGAAGGTTCCACTATCATTACCACAATCACCACAATTACCACAGGTGCTGGAAGGCTCCACTATCATTACCACAATCACCACAATTACCACAGGTGCTGGAAGGTTCCACTATCATTACCACAATCACCACAATTACCACAGGTGCTGGAAGGTTCCACTATCATTACCACAATCACCACAATTACCACAATTACCACAGGTGCTGGAAGGCTCCACTATCATTACCACAATCACCACAATTACCACAGGTGCTGGAAGGTTCCACTATCATTACCACAATCACCACAATTACCACAGGTGCTGGAAGGCTCCACTATCATTACCACAATCACCACAATTACCACAGGTGCTGGAAGGTTCCACTGTCATTACCACAATCACCACAATTACCACAATACTCACAGGTACTGGAAGGTTCCACTATCATTACCACAATCACCACAATCACCACAATTACCACAGGTGCTGGAAGGCTCCACTATCATTACCACAATCACCACAATTACCACAGGTGCTGGAAGGTTCCACTGTCATTACCACAATCACCACAATTACCACAATTACCACAGGTGCTGGAAGGTTCCACTATCATTACCACAATCACCACAATTACCACAATTAACACAGGTGCTGGAAGGTTCCACTATCATTACCACAATCACCACAATTACCACAGGTGCTGGAAGGCTCCACTATCATTACCACAATCACCACAATTACCACAATTACCAAAGGTGCTGGTAGGCTCCACTATCATTACCACAATTACCACAATTACCACAATTACCACAGGTGCTGGAAGGCTCCACTATCATTACCACAATCACCACAATTACCACAATTACCACAGGTGCTGGAAGGTTCCACTATCATTACCACAATCACCACAATTACCACAGGTGCTGGAAGGCTCCACTATCATTACCACAATCACCACAATTACCACAGGTGCTGGAAGGTTCCACTATCATTACCACAATCACCACAATTACCACAGGTGCTGGAAGGTTCCACTATCATTACCACAATCACCACAATTACCACAGGTGCTGGAAGGTTCCACTATCATTACCACAATCACCACAATTACCACAGGTGCTGGAAGGCTCCACTATCATTACCACAATCACCACAATTACCACAGGTACTGGAAGGTTCCACTATCATTACCACAATCACCACAATTACCACAGGTACTGGAAGGTTCCACTATCATTACCACAATCACCACAATTACCACAGGTACTGGAAGGTTCCACTATCATTACCACAATCACCACAGGTACTGGAAGGTTCCACTATCATTACCACAATCACCACAATTACCACAGGTGCTGGAAGGCTCCACTATCATTACCACAATCACCACAATTACCACAATTACCACAGGTGCTGGAAGGTTCCACTATCATTACCACAATCACCACAATTCCCACAGGTGCTGGAAGGTTCCACTATCATTACCACAATCACCACAATTACCACAGGTGCTGGAAGGTTCCACTATCATTACCACAATCACCACAATTACCACAGGTGCTGGAAGGTTCCACTATCATTACCACAATCACCACAATTACCACAGGTGCTGGAAGGTTCCACTATCATTACCACAATCACCACAATTCCCCACAGGTGCTGGAAGGTTCCACTATCATTACCACAATCACCACAATTACCACAGGTGCTGGAAGGTTCCACTATCATTACCACAATCACCACAATTACCACAGGTACTGGAAGCTTCCACTATCATTACCACAATCACCACAATTACCACAGGTGCTGGAAGGTTCCACTATCATTACCACAATCACCACAATTACCACAATTACCACAGGTGCTGGAAGGTTCCACTATCATTACCACAATCACCACAATCACCACAATTACCACAGGTGCTGGAAGGCTCCACTATCATTACAACAATCACCACAATTACCACAGGTGCTGGAAGGTTCCACTGTCATTACCACAATCACCACAATTACCACAATTACCACAGGTGCTGGAAGGTTCCACTATCATTACCACAATCACCACAATTACCACAATTACCACAGGTGCTGGAAGGTTCCACTATCATTACCACAATCACCACAATCACCACAATTACCACAGGTGCTGGAAGGTTCCACTATCATTACCACAATCACCACAATTACCACAATTACCAAAGGTGCTGGTAGGCTCCACTATCATTACCACAATTACCACAGGTGCTGGAAGGCTCCACTATCATTACCACAATCACCACAATTACCACAGGTGCTGGAAGGTTCCACTATCGTTACCACAATCACCACAATTACCACAGGTGCTGGAAGGTTCCACTATCATTACCACAATCACCACAATTACCACAGGTGCTGGAAGGCTCCACTATCATTACCACAATCACCACAATTACCACAGGTGCTGGAAGGTTCCACTATCATTACCACAATCACCACAATTACCACAGGTGCTGGAAGGTTCCACTATCATTACCACAATCACCACAATTACCACAGGTGCTGGAAGGTTCCACTATCATTACCACAATCACCACAATTACCACAGGTGCTGGAAGGCTCCACTATCATTACCACAATCACCACAATTACCACAGGTACTGGAAGGTTCCACTATCATTACCACAATCACCACAATTACCACAGGTACTGGAAGGTTCCACTATCATTACCACAATCACCACAATTACCACAGGTACTGGAAGGTTCCACTATCATTACCACAATCACCACAGGTACTGGAAGGTTCCACTATCATTACCACAATCACCACAATTACCACAGGTGCTGGAAGGCTCCACTATCATTACCACAATCACCACAATTACCACAATTACCACAGGTGCTGGAAGGTTCCACTATCATTACCACAATCACCACAATTACCACAGGTGCTGGAAGGTTCCACTATCATTACCACAATCACCACAATTACCACAGGTGCTGGAAGGTTCCACTATCATTACCACAATCACCACAATTACCACAGGTGCTGGAAGGTTCCACTATCATTACCACAATCACCACAATTACCACAGGTGCTGGAAGGTTCCACTATCATTACCACAATCACCACAATTACCACAGGTACTGGAAGCTTCCACTATCATTACCACAATCACCACAATTACCACAGGTGCTGGAAGGTTCCACTATCATTACCACAATCACCACAATTACCACAATTACCACAGGTGCTGGAAGGTTCCACTATCATTACCACAATCACCACAATTACCACAGGTGCTGGAAGGTTCCACTATCATTACCACAATCACCACAATTACCACAGGTACTGGAAGCTTCCACTATCATTACCACAATCACCACAATTACCACAGGTGCTGGAAGGTTCCACTATCATTACCACAATCACCACAATTACCACAATTACCACAGGTACTGGAAGGTTCCACTATCATTACCACAATTACCACAGGTACTGGAAGGTTCCACTATCATTACCACAATCACCACAATTACCACAGGTGCTGGAAGGTTCCACTATCATTACCACAATCACCACAATTACCACAGGTGCTGGAAGGTTCCACTATCATTACCACAATCACCACAATCACCACAATTACCACAGGTGCTGGAAGGTTCCACTATCATTACCACAATCACCACAATTACCACAATTACCACAGGTACTGGAAGGTTCCACTATCATTACCACAATCACCACAATTACCACAGGTGCTGGAAGGTTCCACTATCATTACCACAATCACCACAATTACCACAGGTGCTGGAAGGTTCCACTATCATTACCACAATCACCACAATTACCACAGGTGCTGGAAGATTCCACTATCATTACCACAATTACCACAATCACCACAATTACCACAATTACCACAGGTGCTGGAAGGCTCCACTATCGACGCTCAGACACTACACGTCAGAAAGGCTCTGGCAGAAAGGCTCAAGGCTGAAGTCATCGGTGAACAGTAAGACGGGGAAAAAGGCCTCGAAAAACTGAAAAAAGCCCTCAAAAAAAAGTAATTGATAAAAGGCCTCGGTAAAAGGCCTTGGGGATTAAAGGATTTTGTAAAAAGGCCTTGAAAAGTCTTCGGCACAGTCAAGGAGGAAGGGAAAAAGGCCTTGGTCCAGCAGCAGCAGACTTTCCGGCCATTAATTAAGCCACTTTGTTTTTACCTCTGAAAGGCCTTTTATTGTTAAGGTTTTCTAATTCTCACTAAAATTCTCTTCTCCCGGTCCCATAAGCCCGAAGGCCTTTTGAAGACTTCTTTTAAAGACTTCAATGATTTCTAAGACTCTCAAGATTGTTCAGAAGACTTCTCAAGGCTTTTGAAGGCTCATGAAGGCTTTTGAAGATTTCTGAAGGCTTTTGAAGGCCTTTGAAGGCTTTTGAAGATTTCTGAATGCTTTTGAAGGCTTTTGAAGATTTCCGAAGGCTTTTGAAGGCTTTTCAAGACTCCTAAAGGCTTCTAAAGGCTCCTGAAGATTTCTGAAGTCTCCTGAAGGCTCCTGAAGGCCCCTGAAGGCCCCCTGAAGGCCCCTGAAAGGTCCTAAAGGCCCTTGAAGGCTCCTAAAGGCTCCTGAAGGCTCCTGAAGGCCCCTGAAATTTCTGAAGGCTCCTGAAGGCCCCTGAAGGCTCCTGAAGGCTCCTGAAGGCTCCTGAAGGCCCCTAAAGGCTCCTGAAGGCTCCTGAAGGCTCCTAAAGGCCCCTGAAGGTTCCTGAAGGCTCCTAAAGGCCCCTGAAGGCTCCTGAAGGCCCCTGAAGGCTCCTGAAGGCCCCTGAAGGCTCCTGAAGGCTCCTGAAGGCCCCTGAAGGCTCCTGAAGGCTCCTGAAGGCTCCTAAAGGCCCCTGAAGGCTCCTGAAGGCCCCTGAAGGCTCCTGAAGGCCCCTGAAGGCTCCTGAAGGCTCCTGAAGGCTCCTGAAGGCCCCTGAAGGCTCCTGAAGGCTCCTGAAGGCCCCTGAAGGCTCCTGAAGGCTCCTGAAGGCCCCTGAAGGCTCCTGAAGTCTCCTAAAGGCTCCTAAAGGCCCCTGAAGGCTCCTAAAGGCCCCTGAAGGCTCGTGAAAGCCCCTGAAGGCTCCTGAAGGCTCCTGAAGGCCCCCGAAGGCTCCTGAAGGCTCCTGAAGGCTCCTAAAGGCCCCTGAAGGCTCCTGAAGGCTTGACGTAATCACCCTGTGTGACATCACCCACTGCTGTGATGTCAGTGTTGTGTCAGTGGGATGAACTACAACGCAGCAGTAGACGGGGACAACATGGCGTCCCAAATTTAGACTTCAAATGGCAAATATCTCAAAATATACACATGGTTTTTTGTATTGCAAGAGTAGATTTGACTCAATTTTTTCCTGTATGTCTAAAAATATCGATGTTTTTTCACCAGTTGCTCAAAAAATCACAAAAAAAAAATGTGTAAATGAGTACTGGGTCAATTTCTGACGGAGGGCTAACGCCCCAAAAAAAGAAAAATGACCCCTTTTTTTGAGTTATGCTTCGCATTTTGATTCACTAAGACACTTACACTGTGATATATGTATATGCAAAGGCTGGCACTGTGGCTGGCCCTGGCCATTAGTGCCATTTATGGAGTCACAAACGCAATGTAAGAGGCTATTTAACCACGTTTATCCCACACACTGGCCTTTTTCAGGTCACATACAGGTCTACCTGGTCATTCTTGACCTGTTCTTGATCCTTATCCCTCATAACATACTGACCTGCCCATCCTAGGCAGGTCAGTCTCAAATCCAACCTACCTTGATCCATCATGGGGCTTGGTCTCAGACCGGGCCACGGGGGCGTTGACCCCGGAACCTGACCAGCAGGGCTGTGGCTCGTACGTTGGATTGCGTGCAGCCAGCAGTAACAGCCTGGTTGGTCAGACCCTGATCCACCATGAGGCCTGGTCACAGACCGGGCCGCGGGGGCGTCGACCCCCGGAAGTCTCTCCAGGAAAACCCAGTCTTCACACAGGGGTGTTTCAAAAAGATAGACCCGGTTTCAATGCAACATGCTTTAAAAATGGGTAATTTTGAAACACCCCCATATATGCTGACTCTCTACCCTGGTAGATCTGTTTTGTGACTGATGAAACCCAGTATGTGGGCGAAATACAGTAGAGCATCGCATTATAGTGCATTGATCTACACAATACCATTTGTCTGTACACGAGACGACCTTCTAGATATAGCCTTCCTCAGTGCCTTTTAAAGCTAGTTTCGTACGAGGGGAAGTTCGGGGTTATCAGTCCCTCAGGAGAGACTGATAATGCCACTACGTGGTGAAGCATTTCTCCAGCCAGTGGCTTCCTCAGTCCAATACAGACAACACACTGACTCCAGCCTCAGGGACTGATCACCCCAAACTCCTCCTGACCTCCAACCATTCTTCTCATTATACTGAAATTCACAATAGATAAAATAGACACCGTTTTTGACCATAAAGTTTCGCCTAGTGACTTGCTACAGCCTCCTGTGTGAGCGAAAAGTTGTGAATAATGTCGCTACCCTCTGAAAAGGACCTCACTTAAAGGTGTCCTCTCACAGACCCATATTCTATTGTTCTATCTTCTATTCTTCTATCGTCTATTGCTCTATGGTTAGCAGAAATAGACCCAATAATTGATGGTAGATATAGGCCTAAGACAGGCCATTTTACCCGGCTTTCAAATCAAAATTCCGTCCATGAAGTTTCAACTCGATCCACTGTAAAGTGTAGCCACTATAATTACTACCACATAAATAAAGATCACATAGAACCGGTTTTCTAAGAACCTGTGAACCCATGTGAAGGTTCTATAAGGGATCTAGTGGATCTATAAGGGCTTGTGAACCCATGTGAAGGTTCTATAAGGGATCTAGTGGATCTATAAGGGCTTGTGAACCCATGTGAAGGTTCTATAAGGGATCTAGGGGGTTTATAAGGGCTTGTGAACCCATGTGAAGGTTCTAAAAGGGGATCTAGTGGGTCTATAAGGGCTTGTGAACCCATGTGAAGGTTCTATAAGGGATCTAGTGGGTCTATAAGGGCTTGTGAACCCATGGGAAGGTTCTATAAAGGATCCAGTGGGTCTATAAGGGCTTGTGAACCCATGGGAAGGTTCTATAAGAGATCCAGTGGGTCTATAAGGGCTTGTAAACCCATGGGAAGGTTCTATAAAGGATCCAGTGGGTCTATAAGGGCTTGTGAACCCATGGGAAGGTTCTATAAGAGATCCAGTGGGTCTATAAGGGCTTGTGAACCCATGGGAAGGTTCTATAAGAGACCCAGTGGGTCTATAAGGGCTTGTGAACCCATAGGAAGGTTCTATAAAGGATCCAGTGGGTCTATAAGGGCTTGTGAACCCATGGGAAGGTTCTATAAAGGGTCCAGTGGGTTTTTATAAGGGCTTGTGAACCCATGGGAAGGTTCTATAAAGGATCCAGTGGGTCTATAAGGGCTTGTAAACCCATGGGAAGGTTCTATAAAGGATCCAGTGGGTCTATAAGGGCTTGTAAACCCATGGGAAGGTTCTATAAAGGATCCAGTGGGTCTATAAGGGCTTGTGAACCCATGGGAAGGCTCTATAAGAGACCCAGTGGGTCTATAAGGGCTTGTGAACCCATGGGAAGGCTCCATAAGAGACCCAGTGGGTCTATAAGGGCTTGTGAACCCATGGGAAGCCTCTATAAGAGATCCAGTGGGTCTATAAGAACCAGTGAACCCATATCAACCACGACAAGGCTCTAAAGAATAAAATTTTGACCAGTTTGAGCCTTTCAAAGTTCACCCACTGAGGTAATCCTTACGTACACCTAACTGCACATGATGTGATGTTTCGACCACCTCACAATAAATATACAGCCTATGCTGTCAGACTTTAATTCTCCTAAACATTTCTAATGTTGTAATATTTTCTTGGCAGATATTTCGAAAAACTTAAGCTGGGCTTTTCAGATATTGGTTCAGGGGTTTTAAAAGTCTGTCTGCTACACCAGGGTCGTTAAAGTCTGTCTGCTACACCAGGGTCGTTAAAGTCTGTCTGCTACACCAGGGTCGTTAAAGTCTGTCTGCTACACCAGGGTCGTTAAAGTCTGTCTGCTACACCAGGGTCGTTAAAGTCTGTCTGTTTACACCCAGGGTCGTTAAAGTCTGTCTGGACACCAGGTTGTTAAAGTCTGTCTGCTACACCAGGGTCGTTAAAGTCTGTCTACTACACCAGGGTCGTTAAAGTCTGTCGCTACACAGGGTCTTTTAAAGTCTGTCTGCAAACACCAGGGTCGTTAAAGTCTGTCTGCTACACCAGGGTCGTTAAAGTCTGTCTGCTACACCAGGGTCGTTAAAGTCTGTCTGCTACACCAGGGTCGTTAAAGTCTGTCTGCTACACCAGGGTCTTTAAAAGTCTGTCTGCTACACCAGGGTCGTTAAGTTCTGTCTTGCTACACCAGGGTCGTTAAAGCCCTGTCTGCTACACCAGGGTCGTTAAAGTCTGTCTGCTACACCAGGGTCTTTTAAAGTCTGTCTGCTACACCGGGGTTGTTAAAGTCTGTCTGCTACACCAGGGTCGTTAAAGTCTGTCTACTACACCAGGGTCCTTTAAAAGTCTGTCTACTACACCAGGGTTGTTAAAGTCTGTCTACTACACCAGGGTCGTTAAAGTCTGTCTACTACACCAGGGTTGTTAAAGTCTGTCTACTACACCAGGGTCGTTAAAGTCTGTCTGCTACACCAGGGTCGTTAAAGTCTGCTACACCAGGGTCGTTAAAGTCTGTCTGCTACACCAGGGTCGTTAAAGTCTGTCTGCTACACCAGGGTCGTTAAAGTCTGTCTGCTACACCATGGTCGTTAAAGTCTGTCTGCTACACCAGGGTCGTTAAAGTCTGTCTGCTACACCAGGGTCGTTAAAGTCTGTCTGCTACACCAGGGTCGTTAAAGTCTGTCTGCTACACCAGGGTCGTTAAAGTCTGTCTGCTACCAGGGTCGTTAAAGTCTGTCTGCTACACCGGGGTTTCGTTAAAGTCTGTCTGCTACACCAGGGTCGTTAAAGTCTGTCTGCTAAAACCGGGGTCGTTAAAGTCTGTTTTGCAAACACCGGGGTCGTTAAGTCTGTCTACTACACCAGGGTTGTTAAAGTCTGTCTGCTACACAGGGTCGTTAAAGTCTGTCTACTACACCAGGGTTTTTTAAAGTCTGTCTGCTACACCAGGGTCGTTAAAGTCTGTCTGCTACACCAGGGTCGGTAAAGCCTGTCTACTACACCAGGGTCGTTAAAGTCTGTCTGATACACCAGGGTCGTTAAAGTCTGTCTGCTACACCAGGGTCGTTAAAGTCTGTCTGCTACACCAGGGTCGTTAAAGTCTGTCTACTACACTAGGGTCGTTAAAGTCTGTCTACTACACCAGGGTTGTTAAAGTCTGTCTACTACACCAGGGTCGTTAAAGTCTGTCTGCTACACCAGGGTTGTTAAAGTCTGTCTGCTACACCAGGGTTGTTAAAGTCTGTCTGCTACACCAGGGTCGTTAAAGTCTGTCTGCTACACCAGGGTCGTTAAAGTCTGTCTGCTACACCAGGGTCGTTAAAGTCTGTCTGCTACCCCAGGGTCTTTTTTAAAGTCTGTCTGCTACACCAGGGTCGTTAAAGCCTGTCTACTACACCAGGGTCGTTAAAGTCTGTCTACTACACCAGGGTCGTTAAAGTCTGTCTGCTACACCATGGTCGTTAAAGTCTGTCTACTACACCAGGGTCGTTAAAGTCTGTCTACTACACCAGGGTCGTTAAAGTCTGTCTACTACACCAGGGTCGTTAAAGTCTGTCTACTACACCAGGGTCGTTAAAGTCTGTCTACTACACCAGGGTCGTTAAAGTCTGTCTACTACACCAGGGTCGTTAAAGTCTGTCTGCTACACCAGGGTCGTTAAAGTTCTGTCTACTACACCAGGGTCTTTAAAAGTCTGTCTGCTACACCAGGGTCGTTAAAGTCTTTTCTACTACACAGGGTCGTTAAAGTCTTTTTTCTATTTTACACCAGGTCGTTAAAGTTGTCTACTACACCAGGGTCGTTAAAGTCTGTCTACTACACCAGGGTCGTTAAAGTCTGTCTACTACACCAGGGTCGTTAAAGTCTGTCGTTAAAGTACTAACACTAGGGTCGTTAAAGCCTGTCTACTACACCAGGGTCGTTAAAGTTTGTCTACTACACCAGGGTCGTTAAAGTACTACACCAGGGTCGTTAAAGCCTGTCTACTACACCAGGGTCGTTAAAGCCTGTCTACTACACCAGGGTCGTTAAAGTCTGTCTGCTACACCAGGGTCGTTAAGTCTGTCTACTACACCAGGGTCGTTAAAGTCTGTCTACTACACCAGGGTCGTTAAAGCCTGTCTATTACACCAGGGTTTCGTTAAAGCCCTGTCTGCTACCCCAAGGGTCGTTAAAGTCTGTCTACTACACCAGGGTCGTTAAGTCTGTCTACTACACCAGGGTCGTAAAGTCTGTCTACTACACCAGGGTCGTTAAAGTCTGTCTGCTACACCAGGGTCGTTAAAGTCTGTCTACTACACCAGGGTCGTTAAAGTCTGTCTACTACACCAGGGTCGTTAAAGTCTGTCTGCTACACCAGGGTCGTTAAAGTCTGTCTACTACACCGGGGTTTCGTTAAAGTCTGTCTACCTACACCAGGGTCGTTAAAGCTGTCTGCTACACCAGGGTCGTTAAAGTCTGTCTACTACACCAGGGTCGTTAAAGCCTGTCTACTACACCAGGGTCGTTAAAGTCTGTCTACTACACCAGGGTCGTTAAAGTACTACACCGGGGTCGTTAAAGCCTGTCTACTACACCAGATCATTAAAGTCTGTCTACTACACCAGGGTCGTTAAAGTCTGTCTACTACACCAGGGTCGTTAAAGTACTACACCAGGGTCGTTAAAGTCTGTCTACTACACCAGATCATTAAAGTCTGTCTACTACACCAGGGTCGTTAAAGTCTGTCTACTACACCAGGGTCGTTAAAGTACTACACCAGGGTCGTTAAAGTCTGTCTACTACACAGATCATTAAAGTCTGTTTTACTACACCAGGGTCGTTAAAGTCTGTCTACTACACCAGGGTCGTTAAAGTACTACACCAGGGTCGTTAAAGTCTGTCTACTACACCAGATCATTAAAGTCTGTCTACTACACCAGGGTCGTTAAAGTCTGTCTACTACACCAGGGTCGTTAAAGTACTACACCAGGGTCGTTAAAGCCTGTCTACTACACCAGGGTCGTTAAAGGCTGTCTACTACACCAGGGTCGTTAAAGTCTGTCTACTACACCAGATCATTAAAGTATGTCTACTACACCAGGGTCGTTAAAGCCTGTCTACTACACCAGGGTCGTTAAAGCCTGTCTACTACACCAGGGTCGTTAAAGTACTACACCAAGGTCGTTAAAGTCTACTACAGGAGGGTCGTTAACACCACTGTTACACGGTACTTACTCTCATGGTGTCCGAAGATGTCTGGAGCCTCAGCCAGGAATCACCAAAATGCTTACACGTGTCAGCAGTCTACAAATTCCATCCACGAGGGAGGTGATAATTACCTTCCCAGTAATAACAGTGGTGTAATTAGCGTTGTGATGTGTTGACTGGTGAGAGAACTTCACTGTACAAGGCTTGTTAAAGGATAAGTCGTCCTGATTACTAAGATCTTAACTAATTAGTACGATTAAATGGAGATTGGTCGCCTCCTTACTCGGGGACTGGTTGCTTGTAACTGCCCACTGGAGAGAGTAATTGGGTGATTAGCGGAACAATTACAGTTCCACTGTCAATTTGTACAGTCTTCAGAAAGCTGTGTGGCTACTAAGCTTCATTTCTTTATTAAATCTGAGCTTAAATATAATTATAATATTTATTTCGAGTAGTACCTGATGCAACTTATACAGACCATAGTTGACACCCATGACATACTGCTATATAGAAAGTAGCTTGTTATGTTGAGCATTTCCTGCAAATTATGTCAGTTTTGTGCCAGGATGTGACCCACACCAGTCCACTAACACCCAGGATGTGACCCACACCAGTCCACTAACACCCAGGATGTGACCCACACCAGTACACTAACACCCAGGATGTGACCCACACCAGTCCACTAACACCCAGGATGTGACCCACACCAGTCCACTAACACCCAGGATGTGACCCACACCAGTCCACTAACACCCAGGATTGCCCCCCAAACACCAGTCCACTAACACCCAGGAGGGCCCCACACCAGTCCACTAACACCCAGGATGACCCACACCAGTCCACTAACACCCAGGATGTGCCCCTCCACAACCAGTACCCCCCCTAAACACCCAGGTACCCATTTTACTGATGGGTGAAATAGACAACCGGTGTAAAGAAACACGCCCAATGTTTCTACCCTCGCCGGGAATCGAACCCAGATCCTCACCGTGTGAAGCAGAGCTTTAGCCACCAGACCACGGGCACCGTAACAGTCTGGGAAATCAAAAGTTGCATATTTTTGCACAGGTTGAACCAAGGTGCCAGCACACATGAGGGGGATTACCAATAGACCCCTGACTGTCTTCAAGAGGGAGCTATACAGATATATAAAGTCAGTACCTGACCAGCTGGACTGTTAGTGCTGATCGCACGTGCAGCCAGCAGTAACAGTCTGGTTCATCAGGCCCTAATCCACCACGAGGCCTGGTCATGGACCGGGCCACGGGACTCTGACCCCCAAAATACCCTCCAGGTATACTCCAGGTAACAAGGGGGCCATGAATACAATGTAACGTACCCTTAGTATGCCACAGGGTTTGAAGTCTATCTACTACACCAGGGTCATTAAAGTTGCTTCGAAGATCATTTTTTTATTATCAATAGATTATTGAGTAATTATATCACAATTATTATTATGACTAGATTATTGAGCATTTGTATCACAATTATTATTATTATCCCAGGAGATCCTTGACCTTTATAGGCATCCTAGGAGATCCTTGACCTCTTATTGGTATCCTAGGAGATCCTTCACCATTATAGGTATCCTAGATCCTTGACCTCCTATAGGTATCCTAGGAGATTCTTGTCCTCTTACAGGCATCCTAGGAGATTCTTGACCTCTTATAGGTATTCTAGGAGATCCTGGACCTCCTATAGGTATCCTAGGAGATTCTTGTCCTCTTATAGGCATCCTAGGAGATTCTTGACCTCTTATAGGTATTCTAGGAGATCCTTCACCATTATAGGTATCCTAGATCCTTGACCTCCTATAGGTATCCTAGGAGATTCTTGTCCTCTTATAGGCATCCTAGGAGATTCTTGACCTCTTATAGGTATTCTAGGAGATCCTGGACCTCCTATAGGTATCCTAGGAGATTCTTGTCCTCTTATAGGCATCCTAGGAGATTCTTGACCTCTTATAGGTATTCTAGGAGATCCTTCACCATTATAGGTATCCCAGGAGATCCTTGACCTCCTATAGGTATCCTAGGAGATTCTTGTCCTCTTATAGGCATCCTAGGAGATTCTTGACCTCTTATAGGTATTCTAGGAGATCCTGGACCTCCTATAGGTATCCTAGGAGATTCTTGTCCTCTTATAGGCATCCTAGGAGATTCTTGACCTCTTATTGGTATCCTAGGAGATCCTTGACTTCTGTGGTGCCATCTGTGTTCTTCACAACACTTAAGTTGGCACAGACGAAGCGGAAGTAGACCAGGTCCTGGAGTGCCTCAAAAAAGTTAGCTAAGGTGTTGGCCTCCAGGCGGGTAGCTAGGACGCTAGTTCGTGCCTCGTTGTCGCTGTAGTGGTATCTGTCGTCGTACCCCAGCAGGTGTTGTACCTTGTCGTCAGTCAGGGTCTCCGTCTTGGGCACTGTGTCGAGAGCGGGGAATCTCCAGCGGCGATAGCGGGCGATAGCGCTGGCATCTGCCGTCATGTACATGCCTCGTCTGTAGAAATACTTTAGTATCTCCCTCACACCCTGAGGTGTTAGGCTACAACACATGAGGTGCACTCCAGAGTATCTAATTCTTATGTGCTCTAGTAACTGGCATACCAAGGGGACATCTCTGTCAGTGATGTCTCTAAAGCAGACATCCATAAGGGGAGTGTTGACAGGGGTCAACGATGTATTGTTGAGGTCGTCCAGAGGCAAGTCGAAGTCCACTTCTAGCCACAAGAGAGAAGGCAACTCCGATGGACTCCTTAGTATGGCTTCAACTGACTCCCTATCCGTCACTCTAACTCTCAAACACACCAAGTTTCTGGTGGCTTGCCAACCACACAGAGATTTGATGGTCTCAGCGTTTAGGCAACCAATAAAGTCTTGCAGCTGTTGGTTGCCTCGTTGTATGACACTAACCAGATTGTCAGTGGTGTCAGAACTGCCCCATTGCAAGTGATTCATCTCTGCTAGGAACATGGGAATGGACGTTCCTGCTAGCAGTGCCACAACGCCACCTAGATCCGGTGCCAGGCACTTTCTCTCCACCGAAACATGTATTTTCACAGGGGTGGAGTGCTGGAGTAAGGCAGCGAGAGGCTCCACCAACACAGCCCCATCAGACACTTCCCAGATCTTCGGGAGCCCCACTTCATCCATCATGATGCGGAGAACCCGTGGATGAACCCGGAACTCCTGGATAACTTTGAGAGTGTAGCCGAAGCGATCCGTGGCCCGGTCCATGTGTAGGACGAGATTCTTGGCGGCGCGAGACACCTGGTTGTCAGGAGAATGAGGGTCGTGTTGCAGTATGTGGTTCAGGTGTCCCGCAGCGTATATCACCACACTGTCTTCGTCTCGTAGCCTCTTCACCAGCGACTTCATCGGCGTCCCACGCATGTTCTGATGGATAGCGTCCCAGGCGGCTAGGAACTGAGTCAGTGGATGAGGGAAGGAGAGACTGGATAGGCAGGCTGCAGATGTGGACAGAGGCAGTGGTAGTAGCAATGCCACCTCCACCACACCACTGGGAAAAATCTTCCCAGCTTCACCCAGCAATTCCTCCCTGTTAATGTGTATTTCAGATTCCAGGCTCCTCCTAGCAAGCTTTCCTAGCACTAGCAACCACCTAGCCATCTCCTCCTCTCTTATATTATAACATTGAGACACCTGGGACTCAACAATGCACCACAGCAACTGTGTGGTAGTTACAACACTGTCATCGATGTTTCCTAGTGTCCAGGCTAGGCAGGTGGAGATAACTAGCCGTGGGTATGATAAAACATCTGAGACGAGGCACCAGCTGGCCACCAGCCAGCTGGTAAACGACTCCACCTGCTCAGCAGGAAGGTGTTGCATCGCCAGAGACAGGGCGTCACATCTGTCTAGCCCCTGCAGGGTGATGTGAACGGTGGGTACGTAAGCGGCCGTCAGCGCTGACGTAGCCACACCATCAGCTGACGTTGTCAGCAGCAGAAAGACGCCTGGGTCCACTCCGTCAGTGCCTCCGTCAGTTCCTCGCCGGCTTTCTTCGGGATAAAGTCGTCTATAATCACAAGTACTTGTGCTGATTCCATCCACTCTGCCACACAGGACGCACCCCACTTCGACACCGACTGCAGCAGAAAGGTCTTGACCGCTTCCCAGCAGTCGTCAGCAGCCACAGCAGATCCACTGAGCACCAACAGTGCCTATAACGAAGGAAAACCGCCTAGTTCAATAGACAATAGAAACAATGTCAGTGTTGATACCTCGAGCACTGACAGGATAGCCGACAGCAATAATAGCTAGGGGAATTAAGCTAGACACTGACATGACTACTTCGACTTCTGCAGTGGAACCTGGAACTGAAGAATGAGACACTGGAAGAATACAGTGCTGTTCACCAGCTCCAAGGCTGAGGGACTGATTACCTGTTTCTATATAAAATTCTTCACATTACGTCCTTGTATTGTGTTAATAAAGCCGCTGGTGGGCAAAACATCTGCAAATGATGATACTCAGATGTTGTACATGTGTTTAATTCATCGATTGTCAAACTGATATTGACACTAACTTTAAAAATGTCTAGTCACAGTATCCTTTCTAACTCTGATTCTTCCTGACTATCTCTGCCTCTGTCTGACTATCTCTGCCTCTGTCTGACTATCTCTGCCCCTGTCTGACTACTCTGCCTAGTTTACATCTTTGCCTCTGTCGACTATCCCTGCCTCTATCTGACTATCTCTGCCTCTGTCTGACTATATCTGCCTCTATCTGACTATCTCTGCCTCTGTCTGACTATCCCTGCCTCTATCTGACTATCTCTGCCTCTATCTGACTATCTCTGCCTCTGTCTGACTATCTCTGCCTCTATCTGACTATCTCTGCCTCTATCTGACTATCCCTGCCTCTATCTGACTATCTCTGCCTCTATCTGACTATCTCTGCCTCTATCTGACTATCCCTGCCTCTATCTGACTATCCCTGCCTCTATCTGACTATCTCTGCCTCCTATCTGACTATCCCTGCCTCTTCTGACTTCTCTGCCTCTGTCTGCTATCTCTGCCTCTAAACTGACTATCCCCGCCCTATCTGACTATCCCTGCCTCTATCTGACTATCCCTGCCTCTATCTGACTATCCTGCCTCTATTTTGACTATCTCTGCCTCTATCTGACTATCTCTCGCCTCTATCTGACTATCTCTGCCTCTAAACTGACTATCTCCCGCCTCTATCTGACATCCCTGCCTCTATCTGAAATATCTCTGCCTCTATCTGATATCCCTGCCTCTATTGACTATTCCCTGCCTCTATCTGATATCCTGCCTCTATCTGCTATCCCCCTGCCTCTATCTGACTATCCCTGCCTCTAATCTGACTATCCCTGCCTCATCTGATCTCTGCCCTATCTGCATCCTGCCTCTATCTGACTAACCTGCCTATCTGCTATCCTGCTCTATTGACTATCCCTGCCTCTATCTGACTATCTCTGCCTCTATCTGACTATCCCTGCCTCTATCTGACTATCCCCGCCCTATCTGACATCTCTGCCTCTATTGACTATCTCGCCTCTGTCTGACAATCCCTGCCTCTATCTGACTATCCCTGCCTCTATCTGACTATCTCTGCCTCTATTGACATCCTGCCTCTGACTATTCCCTGCCTCTATCTGACATCCCAGCCCTATCTGACTATCTCTGCCTCTATCTGACTATCCCTGCCTCTATCTGACTTCCCCGCCTCTATCTGACTACTCTGCCTCTATCTGACTATCCCTGCCTCTATCTGACTATCCCTGCCTCTATCTGATATCCCTGCCTCTATTGACTATCTCTGCCTCTTTCTGACTATTTCCCCGCCTCTATCTGACTATCCCCTGCCTCTATTGACTATCCCTGCCTCTATCTGACTATCTCTGCCTCTATCTGACTATCTCTGCCTCTATCTGACTACTCTCTCTATCGACTATCCCTGCCTCTATCTGACTATTTCCCTCCTCTATCTGACATCTCTGCCTCTATCTGACTATCCCTGCCTCTATCTGACTATCCCTGCCTCTATCTGCTATCTCTGCCTCTATTGCTACTCTGCCTCTTCTGACTATCCCTGCCCTATCTGACATCCCTGCCTCTATCTGACTATCTTGCCTCTATCTGACTATCCCCGCTCTGCTATCCCGCCTCTATCTTGACTATCCCTGCCTCTATCTGCTATCTCTGCCCATCTGACTATCCCTGCCTCTATCTGACTATCCCTGCCCCTATCTGAACTATCCCCTGCTCTATTGACTACCTGTCCTATCTGACTATCTCTGCCTCTATCTGACCCTTTTCTGCCCTAACGACTATCCTGCTCTATCTGACTAAACCTGCCTCTATCTGACTATTCTGCCCCTATCTGATATCCTGCCTCTGTCGACTTCCTGCCTCATCTACTATCCTGCCTCTATCTGACTATCTCTGCCTCTATCTGACTATCCTCCTCTATCGACTATCCCTGCCTCTATCTGACTATTCTGCCTCTATCTGACTATCCCTGCCCCTATCTGACATCCCTGCCTCTATCTGAAATACTCGCTCTATCTGTATTCTGCCTCGTCTGATATCCCTGCCTCTATTGACATCCTTTCCTCTATCTGAAATATCTGCCTCTATCTGACTTCCCTCCTCTGACATCCCTCCTCTATTGACTATCCCTGCCTCTATCTGACTATTCTGCCTCTATTTGACTAACCCTGCCTCTACTGACTACCCCGCCTCTATCTGACTTCTTTTGCCTTATCTTTACTACCCCGCCTCTATCTGAATCTCTGGCCTCTTCTGGCTAATTGTCTATTGACTATCCCCGCCTCTATCTGACTATCCCGCCTCATCTTTACTATCTCTGCCCTATTGACTTCTCTGCCTCTTTGACTTCCCTGTCTTCGACTACCCTGCCTCTATTGACTCCCCCGCCTCTATTGCCCATCTCTGCTTTTGACATCCCCGCCCTTTTTGACTATCTCTGCCTCACTGATTCCCCCCCTTTCGACTATCCCCGCCTCTATCGACTATCCTGCCCCATCTGACTATCTCTGCCCCTATCTGCACCCCGCCTTATTGACTTCTCTGCCCCTATTTACTTCTCTGCCTCTATCTGACTATCCTGCCTCTATCTGACTATTTCCCTGCCCTATCTGACTATCTCTGCCCCTATCGATATCCCTGCCTCTACTACTATTCCTGCCCCTATCTGACTTCCCCGCCTCTATCGACTATCCCTGCCTCATTACTATCCCTGCCCTATTGCATCCCCGCCCCTTCTGACTATCCCTGCCCTTCTGACTATCTCGCCTATTTTTACTACCTCCTCTATCGGGCTATCCTCCCCTATCGACTTCCCTGCCTCTATTTGACTATCCTGCCTCTTTGACTATCCCTGCCTCTACTGACTATCCCTGCCCCATCTGACATCCCCGCCCCTATCTGACTATCTCTGCCTCTTTTGACTATCTTGCCTCTATCTGACTATCCCTGCCTCTTCTGACATCCCTGCCCCTACTGACATCTCTGCCTTTTGCTACCCTCCTCTATCTGCTATCCCCGCCTCTATTGATTCTCTGCCTCTTCGACTATCTTGCCTCTGTTGACTTCCCTGCCTCTATCTGACTTCCCCGCCTCTTTGACATCCCCGCCTCTATCTGCTATCCCCGCCTCTATCTGACTACCCTGCCTCTATCTGACTATCTTGCCCCTATCTGACTATCCCGCCCCTTTATATCCCGCCCCTATTGACTAACTTGCCTCTATCTGACTATCTCTGCCTCTATCTGCTACCCTGCCTCATCGACTTTCTGCCTCTATCTGACTATCTCTGCCCCCTATCAAATACCCTGCCTCTATCGCTATCCGCCTCTATTGATATCTCTGACTCTTCTGACTACCCTGCCTCTATCTGACATCCCTGCCCCTATTGACATCCCGCTTTATCTGACTTTCCCTGCCCCTTTGCTATCCCTGCCTCTATCTGACTATCCCCCCTCTATCTGCTTCCCCGCCTCTATTGACTATCCCCGCCTCTATCTGACTATTCTGCCCCTTTTCTGACTATCCCGCCTCTATTGACTATCCCCCCTCTATCTGACTACTCTCCTCTATCTGACTACCCTGCCCCATCTGACTATCCCGCCTCTTCTCTATCTATGCCTCTGACTATCCCTGTCTCTATCGAATATCTCATTTTCTTAGAATTTTAAGAAAGGAATGCCCGGGGTTGGCAAGAAGGGAAAACCCCAAAAACTAACACAAGGGGGGGAGTTGTCACAGTTGCTTTTTGCTGATGACACTGTGCTTTTGGCAGATTCTGAAGAAAATTTGCTTCTATCTTATTATCTCTGCATCTATCTGGCTATCTCTGCCTTTCATCTCACCTGATAATGATCCAGACCATGGAGTAAGTGATCACTGCTGGTCCAGGATGTGGCAATACGCCGAGCAATGGTTGACTTGCCTTTTCCAGCCTCTGCACTCAGCACCCACACTCTTGCTGGTACGTCATCCACTCGTTTAGTGCATAAAAGATCCTCCAGGTTTATGTCACGGCCTTTTCCACCTCCCTCGCTGCAAGGTAACATTATGTAGTAGCATAAGAAGGAACACTGCAGGAGGCCTACTGGCTGGTGTTAAGCAGGGTCAACTCATACCCAACACTGTTGGAGGCCTACTGGCTGGTGTCAAGCAGGGTCAACTCATACCCAACACTGTTGGAGGCCTACTGGCTGGTGTCAAGCAGGGTCAACTCATACCCAACACTGTTGGAGGCCTACTGGCTGGTGCTAGGCAGGGTCAACTCACACCCAGCCACTACTGCTGCCTCTATATTTGACTAAAGAAGCTTACTGCATGGGCAAAACGTAGTCAATATAGCATCGTATTATACTGTATTTGTGTCTATATCTCCAACATTAAAAGGAATTTATAGATATGAACAGTGCACGGCAGCTTACCCTCCAGGAGGTGGCGCCACCATAGCCCCCAGGAAGGAGCCAGGAGCTGCCCTCTGGGTGCCCAGCTCAGCCAAACGACCAATACACTCATCTCTTATGTCTTTTTCCATCTTCTCTGACGCCATCTTCAAAACAAAGAAAAAAAATACAAAATAATGGCCTCATCGGTCTAATGTTTGAGGTAATCAGTCCCCTCAGTCTTCAGTCCATCAGTCTTGATAAGGTTAGTGCTAGGTAGGTTCAACTCGCACCCAACACACCAGGAGGACCATTAGCTCATGCTAGGAAGGTTCAACTCACACCCAACACACCAGGAGGACCACTAGCTCATGCTAGGAAGGTTCAACTCACACCCAACACACCAGGAGGACCACTAGCTCATGCTAGGAAGGTTCAACTCACACCCAACACTACAAAAGGACTACTTGCCCATGCTAGGCAGGTTCAGCTCACACCCAACACACCAGGAGGACCACTAGCTCATGCTTGGAAGGTTCAACTCACACCCAACACTGCAGGAGGACTACTGGCCCATGCTAGGCAGGTTCAGCTCACACCCAACACTGCAGGACTACTGGCCCATGCTAGGCAGGTTCACCTCACACCCAACACTGCAGGAGGACTAGTGGCCCAAGCTAGGCAGATTCAACTCACACCCAACACTGCGGGAGGACTACTGGCCCATGTTAGGCAGGTTCAACTCACACCCAACACTGCAAAAGGACTACTGGCCCATGCTAGGCAGGTTCAGCTCACACCCAACACTGCAGGAGGACTACTGGCCCATGCTAGGCAGGTTCAACTCACAGCCAACACAGCAGGAGGACTACTGGCCCATGCTAGGCAGATTCAACTCGCACCCAACACTGCAGAAATACTGCCCCATGCTAGGTAGGTTCAATTCACACCCAACACTGCAAAAGGATTACTGGCCCATGCTAGGCAGGTTCAACTCACACCCAACACTGCAGGACTACTGGCCCATGCTAGGCAGGTTCAATTCGCACATAACACTGCAGGACTACTGGCCCATTCTAGGCAGGTTCAACTCACACACAACACTGCAGAACTACTGGCCCATGCTAGGCAGGTTCAACTCACACCCAACACTGCAGGAGGACTACTGGCCCATGCTAGGCAGGTTCAACTCGCACCCAACACTGCAGAACTACTGGCCCATGCTAGGCAGGTTCAACTCGCACCCAACACTGCAGGACTACTGGCGCACGCTAGGCAGGTTCAACTCACACCCAACACTGCAGGAGGACTACTGGCCCATGTTAGGCAGGTTCAACTCACACCCAACACTGCAGGACTACTGGCCCATGCTAGGCAGGTTCAACTCGCACCCAACACTGCAGGACTACTGGCCCATGCTAGGCAGGTTCAATGCGCACCCAACATTGCAGAACTACTGGCCCATGCTAGGCAGGTTCAACTCACACCCAACACTGCAGGAGGACTACTGGCCCATGCTAGGCAGGTTCAACTCGCACCCAACACTGCAGGAGGACTACTGGCCCATGCTAGGCAGGTTCAGCTCACACCCAACACTGCAGGAGGACAACTGGCCATGCTAGGCAGGTTCAACTCACACCCAACACTGCAGGAGGACTACTGGCCCATGCTAGGCAGGTTCAACTCGCACCAAACACTGCCGAACTACTGGCCCATGCTAGGCAGGTTCAACTCGCACCCAACACTGCAGGACTACTGGCCCATGCTAGGCAGGTTCAACTCACACCCTACACTGCAGGAGGACTACTGGCCCATGCTAGGCAGGTTCAACTCACACCCAACACTGCAGTACTGGCCCATGCTAGGCAGGTTCAACTCACACACAACACTGCAGAACTACTGGCCCATGCTAGGCAGGTTCAACTCGCACCCAACACTGCAGGACTACTGGCCCACGCTAGGCAGGTTCAACTCACACCCAACACTGCAGGACTACTGGCCCATGTTAGGCAGGTTCAACTCACACCCAACACTGCAGGACTACTGGCCCATGCAAGGCAGGTTCAACTCGCACCCAACACTGCAGGACTACTGGCCCATGTTAGGCAAGTTCAATGTGCACCCAACACTGCAGAACTACTGGCCCATGCTAGGCAGGTTCAACTCACACCCAACACTGCAGGAGGACTACTGGCCCATGCTAGGCAGGTTCAACTCGCACCCAACACTGCAGGACTACTGGCCCATGCTAGGCAGGTTCAATGTGCACCCAACACTGCAGAACTACTGGCCCATGCTAGGCAGGTTCAACTCACACCCAACACTGCAGGAGGACTACTGGCCCATGCTAGGCAGGTTCAACTCGCACCCAACACTGCAGGAGGACTACTGGCCCATGCTAGGCAGGTTCAGCTCACACCCAACACTGCAGGAGGACTACTGGCCCATGCTAGGCAGGTTCAACTCACACCAACACTGCAGTACTTGCCCATGCTAGGCAGGTTCAACTCACACCCAACACTGGACTACTGGCCAATGCTAGGCAGGTTCAACTCACACCCAACACTGCAGGAGGACTACTGGCCCATGCTAGGCAGGTTCAACTCGCACCCAACACTGCAAAAGGACTACTGGCCCATGCTAGGCAGGTTCAACTCACACCCAACACTGCAGGACTACTGGCCCATGCTAGGCAGGTTCAACTCACACCCAACACTGCAGGAGGACTACTGGCCCATGCTAAGCAGGTTCAGCTCACACCCAACACTGCAGGAGGACTACTGGCCCATGCTAGGCAGGTTCAACTCCTACCCAACACTGCAGGAGGACAACTGGCCCATGCTAGGCAGGTTCAACTCACACCCAACACTGCAGGAGGACTACTGGCCCATGTTAGGCAGGTTCAACTCACACCCAACACTGCAGGAGGACTACTGGCCCATTCTAGGCAGGTTCAACTCACACCCAACACTGCAGGAGGACTACTGGCCCATGCTAGGCAGGTTCAAACTCACACCCAACACTGCAGGAGGGACTACTGGCCCATGCTAGGCAGGTTCAACTCACACCCAACACTGCAGGAGGACTACTGGCCAATGCTAGGCAGGTTCAACTCACACCCAACACTGCAGGAGGACTACTGGCCCATGTTAGGCAGGTTCAACTCACACCCAACACTGCAGGAGGACTACTGGCCCATGCTAGGCAGGTTCAACTCACACCCAACACTTCAGGAGGACTACTGGCCCATGCTAGGCAGGTTCAACTCACACCCAACACTGCAGGAGGACTACTGGCCCATGCTAGGCAGGTTCAACTCGCACCCAACACTGCAGGACTACTGGCCCATGCTAGGCAGGTTCAGCTCACACCCAACACTGCAGGAGGACTACTGGCCCATGCTAGGCAGGTTCAGCTCACACCCAACACTGCAGGAGGACTACTGGCCCATGATAGGCAGGTTCAACTCACACCCAACACTGGACTACTGGCCAATGCTAGGCAGGTTCAACTCACACCCAACACTGCAGGAGGACTACTGGCCCATGCTAGGCAGGTTCAACTCGCACCCAACACTGCAAAAGGACTACTGGCCCATGCTAGGCAGGTTCAACTCACACCCAACACTGCAGAACTACTGGCCCATGCTAGGCAGGTTCAACTCACACCCAACACTGCAGGAGGACTACTGGCCCATGCTAAGCAGGTTCAGCTCACACCCAACACTGCAGGAGGACTACTGGCCCATGCTAGGCAGGTTCAACTCACACCCAACACTGCAGGAGGACAACTGGCCCATGCTAGGCAGGTTCAACTCACACCCAACACTGCAGGAGGACTACTGGCCCATGCTAGGCAGGTTCAACTCACCCCAACACTGCAGGAGGACATACTGGCCCATGCTAGGCAGGGTCAACTCACACCCAACACTGCAGGAGGACTACTGGCCAATGCTAGGCAGGTTCAACTCACACCCAACACTGCAGGAGGACTACTGGCCCATGTTAGGCAGGTTCAACTCACACCCAACACTGCAAAAGGACTACTGGCCCATCCTAGGCAGGTTCAACTCACACCCAACACTGCAGGAGGACTACTGGCCCATGCTAGGCAGGTTCAACTCACACCCAACACTGCAGGAGGACTACTGGCCCATGCTAGGCAGGTTCAACTCACACCCAACACTGCAGGAGGACTACTGGCCAATGCTAGGCAGGTTCAACTCACACCCAACACTGCAGGAGGACTACTGGCCCATGTTAGGCAGGTTCAACTCACACCCAACACTGCAGGAGGACTACTGGCCCATGCTAGCAGGTTCAACTCACACCAACACTGCAGGAGGACTACTGGCCCATGCTAGGCAGGTTCAACTCACCCAACACTGCAGGAGGACTACTGGCCCATGCTAGGCAGGTTCAACTCACACCCAACACTGCAGGAGGACTACTGGCCCATGCTAGGCAGGTTCAGCTCACACCCAACACTGCAGGAGGACTACTGGCCCATGCTAGGCAAGTTCAACTCACACCCAACACTGCAGGAGGACTACTGGCCCATGCTAGGCAGGTTCAACTTACATCCAACACTGCAGGAGGACTACTGGCCCATGCTAGGCAGGCTCAACTCACACCCAACACTGCAGGAGGACTACTGGCCCATGCTAGGCAGGTTCAACTCACAGCCAACACTGCAGGAGGACTACTGGCCCATGCTAGGCAGGTTCAACTCACACCCAACACTGCCTGGAGTATACCTGGAGTTCCGGGGGTCAACGCCCCCGGGAGTCAACGCCCCCGGGGGCCTCAGTGTAAATACACTGACCAGTAAAATATAATTTTGACTAAATTAAAAAAAAAATAATTTTGAAACAAAAATCTGGCTACTCACTCATCCCAGATAGGCCTAGGGTCCCAAAAACGGCTATACTAGGCCTATATCACCTCAAAAACACTATATATCGCCCCAAAAACACTAAAAAATGCGTCACAAAAATATATCTATCGTCCTGACGGCCATTTTATCTATCCGAAAATAGACTGAAGAGACAACCATGTTATTTTTTAGTTACATTTTATAGGCCTCAAAAAATTCCCCCCATATGTCCCCCCATGATTATTGCCTGTCGCCCCATGATTATATCTCATGGATATTTGCCTTAAATGCCTTTAATTATGTCATAAATTGGTGAGAAAACAAAAATATTTTTTTAGTCTACGTCTCTCTGTTTACAAACTCCCGTTTTCTATGATTATTATTATTATTAATGTATATTATTGTTATTATATATTAATTATTATTATTATTATTATTATTAATATATATTAATTATTATTATTATTATTATTATATATTATTAATTATTATTATTATTATTATTATATATTATTATTATTATTAAATATATTAATTATTATTATTTATTATTATTATTATTATTATTATTATTATTATTATATATTAATTATTTATTATTATTATTATTATTAATTATTATTATTAATATTATTATTATTATTATTATTATTATTATTATTATTATTATATATTTTATTATTATTATTATATATTATATTATTATTATTATTATTATTATATATTATTATTATTATTATATATTATTATTAATTATTATTATTATTATTATTAATTATTTATTATTATTATTATTATTATTATTATTATTAAAATTTAATTATTATTATATATTAATTATTATTATTATTATTATTTATTAATTATTATTATTATTATATAATATAATTAATTATTATTATTATTATTATTATTATTAATTATTATTATTTTATTAATATAATATTAATTATTATATTATTATTATTATTATTAATTATTATTAATTTTTATTATTATATTATATTATTAATAATATAATTAAATTATTATATTATTATATTAATATATATTAATTATATAAATCTAATAAAATATTTAATTATTTTATATTTGCATTATTATGATTATTATTTGGCAATTTGTATTCTTTTTATTTATTTTATAAACAACCTAAATATTTTTTATATGTTGATTGCTCATGATTTCTGACAATAAAAATAATAATATGATAATGCTCTGATTGGTGACTTTTGCTCCTGATTGGCTGCATGCTTTGCTTGCTCCTGATTGGCTGCAGCTTTGCTTGCTCCTGATTGCTGCATGCTTTGCTTGCTCTGATTGGCTGCATGTTTGCTTGCTCTGATTGGCTGTATGCTTTGCTTGCTCCCGGTTGGCTGTATGCTTTGCTTGCTCCCGGTTGGCTGTATGCTTTGCTTGCTCCTGATTGGCTGTATGCTTTGCTTGCTCCTGATTGGCTGCATGCTTTGCTTGCTCCTGATTGGCTGCATGCTTTGCTTGCTCCTGATTGGCTGCATGCTTTGCTTGCTCCTGATTGGTTGCATGCTTTGCTTGCTCCTGATTGGCTGCATGCTTTGCTTGCTCCTGATTGGTTGCATGCTTTGCTTGCTCCTGATTGGCTGTATGCTTTGTTTGCTCCTGATTGGCTGCATGCTTTGCTTGCTCCTGATTGGCTGTATGCTTTGCTTGCTCCTGATTGGCTGCATGCTTTGCTTGCTCCTGATTGGCTGTATGCTTTGCTTGCTCCTGATTGGCTGCATGCTTTGCTTGCTCCTGATTGGCTGCATGCTTTGCTTGCTCCTGATTGGCTGCCTTGCGATCCACTTGCTGGAAGAAGCTTTTGGTCTGTTTGTTAAGGAAAAATAGCATTGATTTTCTTGTTTTAAGAAGACATTGCCTGATTGGTTGATTTCTGGAAAGTCTTCATTTTGGCTCCAGGACCCCTCAAGGAAGGTTCCTTGATGTTGGTGAGGGGCTCTTGATTTAGGAAATTGGATCTGTGCTCCAGTTACCCGAATTAAGCCTGAATGCCTTCCACATCCCCCCCCCAGGCGCTGTATAATCCTCCGGGTTTAGCGCTTCCCCTTGATTATAATAATAATTGGCTCCAGGACTTGGTGCGTCGCTGCTGCCTGCCCCAGGGCAGACCGTCGCTGGCTGCCTGCCCCAGGGCAGACCGTCGCTGCTGCCTGCCCCAGGGCAGACCGTCGCTGGCTGCCTGCCCCAGGGCAGACCGTCGCTGGCTGCCTGCCCCAGGGCAGACCGTTGGCCTCTGGACTCTTGCAGCTGGCTGAAGTCTTCCCACCTCAACCTGTTGGATGTTACCTGCTGGTATACAGTGGACCCCCGGTTAACGATATTTTTTCACTCCAGCAGTATGTTCAGGTGCCAGTACTGACCGAATTTGTTCCCATAAGGAATATTGTGAAGTAGATTAGTCCATTTCAGACCCCCAAACATACACGTACAAATGCACTTACATAAATACACTTACATAATTGGTCGCATTGGGAGGTGATCGTTAAGCGGGGGTCCACTTTCAAGAGCATCACGACCACACCTATGCACTCTGTGTATGTGTAATCCTTGCATACCGACATCCTCTTACTCATGTTCGGCTGTGAAGGCATCTTTGAGAATTAGACAGCTTTTTTTTTAAACCAATATCTTTTTTTTGTGTGACACGGGTTTAGCTGTCTGTTAAGATAAGATAAGATAAGATTTCGTTCGGATTTTTAACCCCGGAGGGTTAGCCACCCAGGATAACCCAAGAAAGTCAGTGCGTCATCGAGGACTGTCTAACTTATTTCCATTGGGGTCCTTAATCTTGTCCCCCAGGATGCGACCCACACCAGTCGACTAACACCCAGGTACCTATTTGCTGCTAGGTGAACAGGACAACAAGTGTAAGGAAACGTGTCGAAATGTTTCCACCCGCCGGGAATCGAACCCTGGCCCTCCGCGTGTGAAGCGGGAGCTTTAGCCACCGGGCCACCGGGCCACCCGGTAATCTCCTCAGAGGCCAGTCAAGCCCTCTTCATTGAGGTGGTTAAAGATCCCCACACAGTGGATCGGCTTGATTATATCGATCTGAAGACACCAGCACCTTTCTCTCCTCTAAAATTTTCTTCTTTTTTTCTGGATCGGCTGGACCTGCTCCTGCGTCGGTGGGAGTATTCGTCTGGTCCGGTGCCCGTGGCTGCATTCCTTGTAATTAACGCACGGGAAGCCTAATCTTGGCAGGTACACTTACAACACAAACATGATCTGTCAGAATTACGCACTTGATGCCCCTTAGACGCCACTCACGATTCAAGCGGCATATCCACCTGTGCTGTTGTCATCATGGCACCTGCACAGAGACCCAGTTTTCCGACAATGGCCTTGATGTTAAAGTACTCTAAAGCTGACAAGGATACGATTGACTATGCCTCTACCTTTTTCAACATTACCCAGGCTCGGGTGATAAACATCTTCAAGACCCATACCGGATGTAAGGTTAATCTTGATCCTGTCAACTATGACCTATGTACAAGTAAGGAAGTCCGAGAAAAGCTCTTTCAGGCAGGTTTTGCTATCGATTGGGCTCCTGATCAAAAGGCCAGGAGTACAGTCGTGGCAAAATTTGTTGACTCGTCACTGCTAAACGAATACACCCAAAACAAAGACGCCTTGATGACAGACATTTCAACTCAAAATCAAGTCACAGTTGAGGAACTTTTCCATCCTGAACGCTCAAATATCCTTAAGATCAGATGTTCCACTCCAGATGAGGCTGATAAACTGTTCAAACATGGTGTTCGAGCTAACTACTTTCTTATTCCACCTACTTCATTGTTTCTACCTAACTATGTCGCTATTCATCGGTGCTACAAATCCCTTGAGTTTGGACATCTAAAGAATACTTGTGACAAGCAACAGCTGTGTTCCAAGTGTTCTTCTCCAGGCCACACATGGCAAAAATGTACCAACCCTCCAAAATGTTTGCACTGCTCTCAGTCACATTCTGCTACTTCTTTCAACTGCCCTACTCGTAAGGAATATGTGTCTTCATTACGGAAAGACCAACCTCTGAACCTCCCAAGCCCAGTCTTGACTCCACGCTCACAAACACAGACAACATCCTCATCCACTTACCAACCAAACTCTTATGTTCCTCCTGCTACCACTTCTACAGCTTATCCTTCCTATGCTGCTGCTGCACAAACCAACCTTCCCTCGGCCTCTTCATTCTCAAAACAATCTAATATCCTTGAGACCATTGTGCTCACTGCTGTATACTGTCATAAAGCATTTAAAAGTGCCAACTATCCAACGATGCTGAATGATCTTTTGAAAGCCAACAATTTTGACCCCATCATTTTCCCTCCTGATTTCTTTCTTCCTAAGGATGAACTTTTTCCCAACTCCTCTCTCTCCACTCCAGAAACTCCTCTTCAAGCTTCTACTCAGGCAGACCCTTCTCCTTCCACCCATATGCCAAAATCCTGTCCTAATCCTTCCACCAGTTCTGGCTCCAACACCAAACGATCTCAACCTCCTTCTTCCTCTACTCGTCCTTCTCGTTCTCCTACTCTCAAGTCTCGACCTCCTATTATGATACAACAGTGTACCAACTCTCCCGGATTCGACGACTGTCTGGTAAAAGTTCAGCACTTAATGAATCAAGCCCCGCCCTCGCCCTCTCCCTCTCGCCCCAACTCATCCTCTCATCTTAACACTACACCTAGTCCCACCTCCTACTCCAGGCCCCTCTCACCTTCCCCTTCCCGTTCTCAATCCAGAAACCGTAAAACACAACCGACCAAATATAGATCAGGTGCTGGGTTAGCACGATAAAAATAGGAAGGACTTACAATTTCGACCTTCAAGTAACCCCCACCATGGCCCTTAAGGTTATTCAATTTAATATAAGAGCTTATAACGCAAACAAATACATTCTTGCTGACCTCGTTGAATCAGAACAACCAGACGTGTTGTTATTAAACAGCACGTGTGTACGTGATGATCAACGTGTCAGACACTTAGGATATACAGCCCGTCAATCTCCTGCCGAACACTGGAATGGCGTAGCTATTCTTGTTAAAAGTACAATAAAACATGAGTTCTTATCCCTTCCATTTACATATTCTCACAGCATGGCTGTGAA